AATATAAATGCTTCCTACCTGTGACTGACAAGCAGCAGATCAGTTGAGTAATAAAAATTAGTAATACAAAAACTGAATTTACTGCTGAATACTTAAAAATAAAAGCCCCCTTTTTTAAGTGAAGTGATTTCACTAAGGTAACATTGTTTGAAATAAAAATAATAACAACTTTTGTTCACCAAAAGAAGAGAACATGTTTCTTACCTGTAACTGACAAGCAGCATATCAGTTGAGGATACGTTAAACCTGTTGAGTGCACTGACTCACTCAACTGTCTGTACCTTAAATGGGAGGTACAGCTGTCTTCCTGTCACATACCAACAACATTCAGTGAAGACACAGCCAACATTAGCAACGTGTGCAAAAAGTAAATAATAAAATATTGTTTTATCTTGTGCGCACCATTTACTTATATTGTGCGCACACGTTACTTGTGCGCACAATATACAGTGGGTACGGAAAGTATTCAGACCCCTTTAAATTTTTCACTCTTTGTTTCATTGCAGCCATTTGCTAAAATCAAAAAAGTTAATTTTATTTCTCATTAATGTACACTCAGCACCCCATCTTGACAAAAAAAAAAACAGAAATGTAGAAATTTTTGCAAATTTATTAAAAAAGAAAAACTGAAATATCACATGGTCATAAGTATTCAGACCCTTTGCTCAGTATTGAGTAGAAGCACCCTTTTGAGCTACTACAGCCATGAGTCTTCTTGGGAATGATGCAACAAGTTTTTCCACACCTGGATTTGGGGATCCTCTAGGGTCCGTGTATGTTTTGGTCATTGGATTTTCCTTTCAGAAACGGGTATTAAAAGACAGAAAACGAGTGGTTATTTGATTTTCGTTTTAAAATACAAAAATTAAAATTGAAATACAAAGCGATTTTCTTTTTCATGGTCAAAAAGGGATGAGCGAAATTAAAGAAATTATTCGATTTTCATTTTCTATTTCATATAACAAAAAATAAAATCACTAGAAAACAGAAACAGAAAAAAGGCCTGTTGTTTCATATTCTGAGACCGGATGTTGTCATTTACAGGACGGTGCTGTGTAGAAGAAACAGTAGACTAGTAGACTGCGGTCAATCCAGCCGTGAGTCCGATCTCCGTGGTCAAATCAGCCGCACTTAAATTTAGAGTGTACAAGTATTCTCAGCATTATGGTAAATGCGGAGAAACAGCGTATTTACTTCCGGTTTTCAAAATAAAGGTATTTATAGCCGTAAGCTATAATTAAAATATGTTACATTAAAGTGTTTCATGTGCCCCTGATGAATAAAAAAACACTTTATATCAAGTATCTTTACTGCACCAGTGTGGAGAAATGCCAAAATAAAAGCCTGACATTTATGCCTCCAGAGATTGCATATTTGACCGTATTTGAGGTACTGTAGAAACATATTGCTCAGTGTTTCCTGGCTATGGGTGAAGCATTTTCATTATACTTCAATAATGCTGCAGTAATCGTGACAAAATTTCACACAAATGTTAAATAACATCTTGATAATATAAACACTAAACACAAAATCCTACACAATTCTAATTTGATTACTTTTCACACAAAATGCAATGCCAGTCCACATTCTTCTTATTTTGCAGCTCTGCTGTGTCCATTTGTAGGTAAAAGGGAAAAAGAATTAGTTTTAACTTCAAAACACCATTGTACCTACCGTCTCTTCCCCACATATTATTTTTTATATTATTCAGTGTGACAGCTGTTGCAGGTGGTTCCACATACAGTTTACATTTTTACAGTAGCTCAAATATAAGAAAATATGGAATCTGGAAGTATAAATATGGGACTTTTATTCTTCAATTTCTCCAAATTGGTACAGTAAAAATGCTTGATATTAAGTATACTTGTAGTCTTAGATGTGTAGAAGTAAAATATATCATCCATAGCCAGGAATTATTGAGCAAAGTGTTTTTACAGTAGCTCAAATATATGAAAATACCACTTGGAGGTACAAATATGGACTTTTATTGTTGAATTTCTCCAAATTGGTACAGTAAAAATGCTTGATATTAAGTATGTTTGTAGTCTCATATGTGTAAAAGTCAAATATACCATCAGTAGCCAGGAAACACTGAGCAATATGTTTTTACAGTACCTCAAATATGGTCAAATATGCAATCTCTGGAGGCATAAATGTCAGGCTTTTATTTTGGCATTTCTCCACACTGGTGCAGTAAAGATACTTGATATAAAGTGTTTTTTTTATTCATCAGTAGCGCATGAAACACTTTAATGTAACATATTTTAATTATAGCTTACGGCTATAAATACCTTTATTTTGAAAACCGGAAGTAAATACGGCGTTTCTCCGCATTTACCATAATGCTGAGAATACTTGTACACTCTAAATTTAAGTGCGGCTGATTTGACCACGGAGATCGGACTCACGGCTGGATTGACCGCAGTCTACTAGCCTACTGTTTCTTCTACACAGCACCGTCCTGTAAATGACAACATCCGGTCTCAGAATATGAACAAACAGGCCTTTTTTCTGTTTCTGTTTTCTAGTGATTTTATTTTTTGTTATATGAAATAGAAAATGAAAATGGAATATTTTTTTTAATTTTGCTCATCCCTTTCTGACCATGAAAAAGAAAAACGCCTTGTATTTCAATTTTAATTTTTGTATTTTAAAACGAAAATCAAATAACCACTCGTTTTCTGTTTTTTAATACCCGTTTCTGAAAGGACAATCCAATGACCAAAACATACACGGACCGGGTATTGCACCTCAGTCGACACATTGCACATCAACAGCACCAGGGTCCGTGTATGTTTTGGTCATTGGATTTTCCTTTCAGAAACGGGTATTAAAAAACAGAAAACGAGTGGTTATTTGATTTTCGTTTTAAAATACAAAAATTAAAATTGAAATACAAGGCGTTTTTCTTTTTCATGGTCAGAAAGGGATGAGCGAAATTTAAAAAATTATTCGATTTTCATTTTCTATTTCATATAACAAAAAATAAAATCACTAGAAAACAGAAACAGAAAAAGGCCTGTTGTTTCATATTCTGAGACCGGATGTTGTCATTTACAGGACGGTGCTGTGTAGAAGAAACAGTAGGCTAGTAGACTGCGGTCAATCCAGCCGTGAGTCCGATCTCCGTGGTCAAATCAGCCGCACTTAAATTTAGAGTGTACAAGTATTCTCAGCATTATGGTAAATGCGGAGAAACAGCGTATTTACTTCTGGTTTTCAAAATAAAGGTATTTAGAACAGTAAGCTATAATTAAAATATGTTACATTAAAGTCTTGTGCCACTGATGAATAAAAAAAAACTTTATATCAAGTATCTTTACTGCACCAGTGTGGAGAAATGCCAAAATAAAAGTCTCATATTTATGCCTCCAGAGATTGCATATTTGACCATATTTGAGGTACTGTAAAAACATATTACTCAGTGTTTCCTGGCTACTGATGGTATATTTGACTTTTACACATATGAGAGTACAAACATACTTAATATCAAGCATTTTTACTGTACCAATTTGGAGAAATTGAAGAATAAAAAGTCCCATATTTATACTTCCAGATTCCATATTTTCTTATATTTTTGAGCTACTGTAAAAACATATTGCTCAATATTTCCAGGCTATGGGTGAAGCATTTTCATTATACTTCAATAATGCTGCAGTAATCATGACAACATTTCACACAAATGTTTAACATCTTGATAATATAAACACTAAACACTAAACACAAAATCCTACACAATTCTAATTTGTTTACTTTTCACACAAAATGCAATGCCAGTCCACATTCTTCTTATTTTGCTGCTCTGCTGTGTCCATTTGTAGGTAAAAGGGAAAAAGAATTAGTTTTAACTTCAAAACACCATTGTACCTACTGTCTCTTCCTCACATATTATTTTTTATATTATTCAGTGTGACAGCTGTTGCAGGTGGTTCCACATACAGTTTTTTTTTACAGTAGCTCAAATATAAGAAAATATGGAATCTGGAAGTATAAATATGGGACTTTTATTCTTCAATTTCTCCAAATTGGTACAGTAAAAATGCTTGATATTAAGTATGTTTGTAGTCTCATATGTGTAAAAGTCAAATACACCATCAGTAGCCAGGAAACACTGAGCAATATGTTTTTACAGTAGCTCAAATATGGTCAAATATGCAATCTCTGGAGGCATAAATATGAGACTTTTATTTTGGCATTTCTCCACACTGGTGCAGTAAAGATACTTGATATAAAGTGTTTTTTTATTCATCAGGGGCACATAAAACACTTTAATGTAACATATTTTAATTATAGCTTACTGTTCTAAATACCTTTATGTTGAAAACCTATATACGCTGTTTCTCCGCATTTACCATAATGCTGAGAATACTTGTACACTGGACATTTAGGTGCGGCTGATTTGACCACGGAGATCGGACTCACGGCTGGATTGACCGCAGTCTACTAGCCTACTGTTTCTTCTACACAGCACGGTCCTGTAAATGACAACATCCGGTCTCAGAATATGAAAAAACAGGCCTTTTTTCTGTTTCTGTTTTCTAGTGATTTTATTTTTTGTTATATGAAATAGAAAATGAAAATCGAATAATTTTTTTAAGTTCGCTCATCCCTTTTTGACCATCAAAAGAAAAAAACGCCTTGTATTTCAATTTTAATTTTTGTATTTTTAAAACGAAAATCAAATAACCACTCGTTTTCTGTTTTTTAATATCCGTTTCTGAAAGGAAAATCCAATGACCAAAACATACACGGACCTTGTTTATATCCCGGTACATAATGTACATTACTCTGCACTTTACTGCTTTTTGCACTTCTGGTTAGATGCTCAACTGCATTCCGTTGTCTTACAACCTGACAATAAATGACAATGAGTAATAAAGTTGAATCTAATCTATTTCACAAGATGGGTCATTGAATGCCTCATATGAAATTCCATTTTTTGTTTTCTCCCACAACACTTGAAGGCAACATCTACGCTGGCGTCAGTCACGTGTTCTGTGACGTCAGCAGGAGCGTTACCGACGCAGATGTGTTCAACTCATGTAACAACCGGCTGTCTGTGAGCACCAGGGCTTCATTTCACCTCTGTACTGTAAGTGGACCTTAGGGAAACCGAGACTGTCATCTTCCGAGTACTGTACAACCAACACATTTGGATAAAACCGTTTAAGGGAACAAGGTGCCTCTCGGGGGGGGGGGAGAAAAAGCTAACAGTAGTTAGCTTAGCTAGCATAGCTGGTGAACTTTTACCATCGCAGCTCATTGGGTAACGTTCAACTTCATCCAACTCGAGCTAGGTAGCCAGTCAGGTAAAGCCTCAACACAAGGGACGGACTTTGAACTCCACACATTTCAGGTGTGCGAGCTGCCAGAGAGGAGCAGCACTGACGGAGTATTAGTTCGAGGTCATTGTGTACCGTCCGTAGCCAGCTGCTGTCCGGAAACTTCACGGCTCACAGACATGAAGAGCCTCCCGTACTTCTGCAGAGGAGAGGTCATTCGGGGTTTCGGGAGAGGAAGCAAAGAACTGGGAATTCCTACAGGTGAGTGAATTATCTGTCTTTTCTCTGGCGACAACGTAGCGTTTGTTAATGTTACGTAGGTAGGTGAGCTGACGTTGGGTCTGTCTGAATCCCGTCTTATTCACGTTAAAGTCACGTTAGACAACTTTAATAATCTGTCTGTGGTTGGGATCTAAACATCCGGCTGCTTTTTATCGGAAGATGTGGCTGAGTTTTTACTCTTAATCCGCACTCGTTGCTCGTTGTCGGACATTACGGACTATGAAAGGCGATGATGATGATGATGATGACGACAGCTTACGCAACGAGCTGACGTCGGAGTTAAATGAGTTGAGTAACCGAACTTGACAGGTAATGAAAGCGCTGTTATTTTACCGAAATAATGGCTATTATGCAAGGATGGTTGTTTCCAGAAAAGACCAGGAATGTCATACCTTAACGAAAGTGAACGCCTGGCGACATAAAATCCACTGAGGAGGAAATCTGTAACGATAAATGTTCTGGTGTCGTTATTCTCTGTGTTACCCAGACATTTACTCTCAGAAAAGACACACAGTTTAACTCAGAGGTTGTGCCATTTCACTTTTTTTTAAATATAAACCTTATAGATGTACAGGATCCCCCCCAAAAATTACGTTTTGTGTTTTTCCAGATTATAGTCAAAACATTTGGTAAGTAGCCAAAACTTCCTTCCTGCAAATCATGCCCAGGGTTATGAGACACTTAAACAAACCGGTAGCTTGATTTTATCTGAAAACACATAAGTTAATTGAATATAAATAACATAATAAATAAATTCTAAAACAAATAATGTCAGCTTTACTGAGGAGGTTTGTGTGTAACCCAGAGCTTCTAAATGGTTACGATATTTGCCTACAGTAACTCATTCATTTCTAACAATACTATAGAACATTTAGTAAATTATTTATTTTTTAGCCTTGGTTATTTTAACAACTAGATAAAAGGTTTATCTAAATAGGTAGTGTTTTCTTGATCTCGTTGATGATTTAAAAAGCATCTGCTTTGTGCAATTGAGTAAGACACTAACTTCATTTCAGGAGGAGTGGTTTTCTATCTGACTCTACATGCTAACCTTTTTATCTCCTTCTTCTGACTCTCCAGCCAACTTCCCTGACTCAGTGGTGGACAATCTTCCAGCAGATATCAGCACAGGGATTTACTACGGCTGGGCCTGTGTTGGTAATGGTGATGTCTACAAAATGGTGATGAGCATTGGCTGGAACCCGTACTACAAAAACACCAAGAAGTCCATGGTTAGTACAAGAAAAGCAGCATTCACTGCATAAAGCATGGTGTTTTTAGTAGAAAGAAAGCGTGCACATTGCAAATCTATTTAAAAAATGTCTTTTACAGTTTTGGGTTTAAAGGCAGTGGTGGGATGGTCACATGCCCACTTTTTCCTCCACATTTCTGGTGGGAAATCAAATTTCCCACAGTAGGACAAAGAATATTTGTATTGGAAAAACTGAATAACTCCTCTTTGAAGTTATGTTACACAAGGCTACACATCAGTCAGCATGGTTTCATTCATGGTTGGCACATGAATGCTCATTGCAGAATGGTTATTTTTGATATTATTGATATATTAAAAATATAAATGTTAATGTTTGGTCTTTCAAAAATTCAAAGTCTGTTTTATAAAATTAAAACCCCTTTTGTTGAGACTGTTCTAAAAGAATAATGTCAAAGTCTGCAGTGTAAGACATTTAGAGACATTTCTTAAAGCAACAACCTTTGTTCAGTAAAAAAAAGCACTTGTGAGAAATTGTGTGGAGCTTTTAGTCCGTACAATATTATTAATTAATGTTGTTTTTAATATGCTCATCTTTTTTAAATTATTGAAATAGTATTGTATACTTCATTCACACTCTACACACAGCCAATTTTGCAACTTCAAATTCAAAATAAGGCTGATTGCAAGTCATTCTCATAATTATAACTGGTTTGATAACACAAAAAGGAAAATGCAGTACATTATATTAAATAGATGTGGTACTTGTTTGGTTCTAGGAGACCCATGTGATTCACACATTCAAAGAGGACTTTTATGGAGAGATTCTCAGTGTTGTCATGGTGGGCTACATCCGTCCAGAGAGAAGCTACGACTCACTTGGTATGACACCTTTCTCTCTCTCTCTCACACACACACAAGCTCCAATCTTTGTATGTGTGGTCTTAGAGCCTGTCCACACAAATACGCGGCCTCACCCAATACGATGTTGTTTCGAAAAAAATCTCCGTAAACACAGCGTTGTTTCCAGAAATATCTGAGTCCACACGGATTCACTGAAACGACCCAAAATGCTGTAGTATATATGCCAGGCCTGTATGTGGCGCTGTGACGCCGCCACACCAATACACTAAAACCGGAGGAGAAGCCATGGAGCATGCGCTGTTTACAAACAAGTAGTACTAGTCCACCATTGTTGTTGTTATGACGTGTCTAGCGGTGGTGGCTGAGGTTAAAGGCTAGAGAGGCGGGGCTAATACGTCATCGTTTCGGAAAAAATACGTTTTCGTTTTCCTCTCACACACTTGCTGTGTCTTCTCTGACTTAATGTCTTAATTTCTCTCTCATATTTTTCCTAATAGAAGCCCTCATCACAGCCATCAACAACGACATTGAGGAGGCCAAACTCAAGCTTGAGCTCCCAGAGCATCTCAAACTGAGAGAAGACAACTTCTTCACCAGTGCTCCCAGCTTGTCTTCATCCATGCCCCCCACCACAGCAACAACGTCACAGACTATTATGAATGGTCACTGACAGCTGGCTGTGACTGCAACACACACACACACACACACACACACACACACACACACACACACACACACACACAAAAAAAAACCAAGATAAACCATGATAAGGAGTACGATTCTGCCTTCAGGTGAAAGGTAAAAAGAAGTAGAAAAACACAGCGCTTTTTATATACACACAGGTGCGTGTATGCACTCATTAAAATGCACAGCCTCATTCTGAGATCTATGTGCTGTCACCATGGCTGCACATTGACATTATCATAAACAACCATAAACATTTTTTTTTATTGTATTTCTATTTTACTTTGTCAATTTGTCTGTGTTTAAAGCGCTGTTAATCTTCCTGTATTGGTTTGTGGCAGATATCCAACCACTTAATAGATTATGTTTATTTGTATATATTTGCACCAGATTGCCTCATCTAACAGCATAACTGTGTATGAAGCTCTTGGGCCTCACTAGTCCTGCTGTTTATTTAGAACCTTTTATGTGACAAGGTACCTAAAAATACAGCATACACAAAATACAAGCAGTTTTGTAACAACATGTACATAAAGAATGACATACATGGACCGTAATTTCAACTGTGTGAACACTATCTAGCCAAGGTTGAAAAAGCAGCACTTACTTATTTAGTTTGTCCGATTTGTTTCTGCGTCAGATGGTAAGAGAGAAAGTCTGGGCATTATTATCTGTAACAAAAAGACTGATCGCACCATTGGATGACTTTATGCAACAATGTGGCTAAATGCAAGGCATCTGTGTGAAGACTGAGATTAAATTATGGAAGTATGTAAATTTAATGTTAAACAATCCTTGTCTTTTGTGACACAAGCCCTCTACTGTCTGTCACTGCCCTAAAAATGAATGACTCTTACATTGGGCCAGAGATTGGATTTTGAGCTTTTGATGCATTATACAGATAAAATCTGGTGGACAGAAATTATTTAATAAACATTGTTATTTAATGAACTGTGTACAAACATGATTTAAGGAAAGATTTAAAATAATTTAAACATATTCGGTGTCTGGATTTGCGTGGTACTCTCTCGACACTTAACACTTTCCATTATCAGCCTGTTTGGTTGATGGAGAATTGTAGATTAAATGGGGGGATAATCAAGCAAGTTGTTATGCACCTCGGTTAAGCTTGCCCGATGTTCAGACCTACAGTCTCTGTGGGTTTGTTACTGATAGTAAAACATAGATGTGATGAATAATCCTGTTCCCCACCATGATATTTCCAAAGGGCAAGTCTTTGAAGTGTATGGACACACATTTATACCATAAAAATGGGAAAGGGTGATCATGCAGAAGTCTGAACAGATAACCAACAATACGCATAATATTCCATATCTATATGTATTTCATTTCATGGGGTATTTTGCACCTGTTTAGCTTTTACAAAAAAGACACAAAACTTTCTAACATACAAGTACAAGTGTGTAAAGTTCTTTGAACCCCTGTAAATAATTGTTTTAAATGAATGAACCATATGAGTCTACCTATGTGATTTGGGATTTTAAAGTCTGTATTGTGATTTAGCTGAAGTGTTATTTAGGGAGCAAATACGTGACTGTAATATACGAATGTTGACACTTATCATGCAACAGTAGCTGTCATCCTTTCACAAGAAGAGCATGGCTGTTTCTTACAGGTACCTTTCTGTTCTCAGCATGCTAGTTTTTGTATGTTTACTTTTAATCAGTTTACTTTCTTTACTGAGAGGAAAATATAGTTTCTAAAAGCTGGAAAAAGGTTCCAACTGAATTAGTAAAAGAACCAATACAGGAAGCAGTACTTCACTATAACTATGTTGACAAATTCACTGCTATATAAAACTTTTCTTTATGTTGAATATTACACTATCACTTTCATTCTCTATAGTACTTCATGTACAGAAGAAATATCACTGTTACTTTGAAATGTAATGTGCTGCTTCAAACCTGTCAAAGATTTCATAACCTTTACACAATTGACCCCTACCCTACATTGCTGCAGTATGTTTTACAGACTCATTTGTTGTCATTTTCTGTTCTAGTTTACACAGGGACCAAGGTTACTGTATGTATAGTTAAAGATACAACACGACTTTTTGTTCTCTCATTCTGGTGTTATATATAATTTAATCGATTAAATAGTTTGATCAAGCTTTTTGGATTTTTTTGGCAGCCAAGGGATCTTTTTGACTCTGACTCATTGGCTGACACTTGCCCGAATGTTATTGTCCTAATATCAGCATCAGCAAATATTGGTTAAATATACAGACTGTCACACTGGGCATGTGAACGTGTTTGTAGATCAATGTGTGAACAAATACTTAAGTCTGAATCGTTAGTTTTGAGGATCAGGAATGCAAGCCAATGTGTGTGAAGGAGGTACAGAGGCACATGTCCCTGAGTTGATTTGGTCAATATTTGTTGAGTCTAGTATGAGATAAGACACTGGATTCAACCTGTTCTTCTTGTGGGATTCGGGGTAAAGGTTACTTTTACTTTATGTTATTGAGTGGCATAAGCTGATATAACAGAGCTTAAACTTGGAACTGGCTTAAAAGTATCACCGTGGGCCTTTATTTTCAAATTGTGGTAGAAAAATGTACGTGATCTTATAATAAGCCCCTGTGACACAGATGAGGAACTGATTAAATTAAGACCACATTTGCATTGGCCAGTATAGACCTAAAAACTAATCATACTCATTTATTTATAGTTAGTATATATAACTCATCATTCAGTCAACCAAACTAACCAAATCCAATATGAACATGTTACTAAGCTCAACAAAAGAGGCAACATCTAACATAAGTTGTGTTGATTTGCATGCATTTCTTCCCCAAATCCACATTTTCAAAAGCACATGTGAAGGTTTATTTATAACCCAAAATGTCACCGAGATCGCACACTCACGACTCAGATCAATATCCAACTTTATTATGAAACAATCATTCACAGCACATTTCACCTCAACAAAGCACAGGCTTTAATACTTATTAAATGATTTACTCTTACTTTCCTTTGAGTGGGACGCAGACCTGTCATTATCTCAGGGAGGCAGCAATACAACCCAGAAGTCAAAACATGAGAGCTAAAAGAAAAACCCCTGAGAAAAACAAAAATCTTCTCTGTGTAACCTGATAATATCCAAAACAGTACCACACATGGTTACATATGAGATTGTAATTCAGTGTAAATTTTGTTTAGAATTTTGAGATGACTCCTGCAGTGTGATACACAGGCTGGTTTACAATTTAAACAAAGACAGTACAACACTGAGTGCTGACAGTAATATTAAAACAGTGATTAATAAGTGCTTTAAACCAGATAATGCAGGAACAGTATATTACATTAGCATTCTCTTAGCATTATCAGTGGACATATTTTATGTTAATATTTCTTTCAAATGAAATGATTTATTCTAAAAAATGTAAACAAACACATGAACATGTATATATTGTCAGCACACTCACAACTTCCTCTGAAGTTTGTGTCTTAAAAAGAAATCAAACTCTTTGTATGTCTATTAGAGAAGACAGATCGAAGAAATAGGTTGCATAATCCAACAGTAAACCCGATTATTGATGTTGAGGGCAAAAGACTAGACCAGAAGAAAAGTCAACAACTTGACACAACAGCCGTTTCTGTCTTAGATGACATTTACAATAACTTAATAGTCAAACTGAATTTAGATTACGTATGTATGTTTACTGACTAAAACTTGACACACTAGAATTTGATTCACTGTATATTTCTATGCTAGATTTACATACGTAAACCAAATATTCTGACCAGGCTTGGACCTTCTCAGTGCTGCGCAAACATCAGATCATTTTGTTCTCAGATTTGTATGTCGCTCAACTATATACCTGAATATATCACATGTATGTGAGTTGTGATACCAGCCATAGCAAGATAAAGCTGGCGAAATAAATAAATTAGTTTAAGCACATTTCATTTTATATGGTCCCTTTTTTTTGCTGCCAAACACTTCCATTCACACTGAAAGTTCACAGTAGCCAAGGCAAACAAGACTGTCAATTAAAATGTCACAAAACTGTGTGAAGATCTCAAGTTGGAGATGGTTCAACATTTCTATTATTGTTACAATGAAAAGTCGCCTTAACAAGAGAACAAATAATTTTTCTCGTTATTGGAAAGATAGAAACAAAACCAGCGCAAAAATGACCAGAAAATGTAACTACAGATGGTGTGCTGTGAATCCAACCTTCATCTGTTTTTAAGACATTAATGAAACAATCTGATCAGTGCCACCAATATAGCCAGATATAGACATGGTGTCTGTACGGCTAGAAGAGAGTTTAACAGGTAAATGTGAGTTATGCCTATAATTCTTTCATTTATTTGAGGGACAGCTATCATAAACATCAAAATATTAAGATATTGATTGGTAATTGTCTGGTATGATTAGAGTTAGGGTCATTTTGGTTTAATGAAAGTGTCTCCTTCATCCACAACTGCTCCACCTGCTGGTTGTGCCCAGATGAAGATGAAGTGATACAACTTCTCAAAAAAGAATTAAATAGACAATATGTATCAATCTGAAGAAGAGTGGTCATGTTTCGAGTGCAGTGACACATGAGGAAGATCTCCCTCTTTCCAGTCATGTCTTTTGTGCTTTCTTTTCATCTGTAAGAGTAGCTCTCATCATCATACTCTAGTTCAATCTCATCTTCATCCAAGAGCCCGTACTTGAACTTCCGATACACCGTCCCATCTTGTCCCATGTACACAATATCTTCATCGTCGTCTTCTTCATCACCCTCACACTCAATGATCGGGTCACAATACTCCCCAAATGAAGAGCTAGTGGGTTTTGAGGCATTGCTTCCATTTGTGTCCAGTTTCACATAGCCTCCAGTTTTGGTTTTGGGTGCTATGGAGAGTGATTTAGACCAAGTATGGGTGAAGAGGAAGACCCCTCCGCCCACAGAGAGGATAAGTAGAACACAGACAGTGACAAAGACTCTGGCAGTGCTGCCTTGACCCTCTAAATCCACACCGTCCCGAATCAAAAAGTTGACACCCATGATGCACTCCTCTGAGAAGAAAGGAAATGGAACAGATGATTAGGTTACATTTTGTGTACTTTAGTACAACTTACAAAAGTCTCATGATTTTTTTATCATGTTTTCCCAAAATGATTTTGAATGAATTTAGGCATTTTATAGTCTGAAATGGCTTGTGCAAATAGCTGCTTTAAGAGAAAAGAAATCTCCCTGGCGAAGCATGCCCCTGGAGTGCTTTCCCGGTTTGGATAAGTCTGGTTTTAGAATCATTCTAAAATACAGTTTGGCACAAATATGAAACTTGTGTGTACACAGTGGGAAAGCTCTCAATTAGATGAATTATACAGGGCAACCATTACAAATGAAAGATGCCCTGAAAGCCTGTGACTGATGACTCACACAACCATAATCACGGAGGAACAGGAACAAGCCTCAGTACAGTGATTTGTGTGTGTTTTTTCTGTAAGTCTGTGTTCCAAGTGTGGGTTCTTGTTTACCTCGTGAGGCCATGCAGTCACAGCACTCTCTGGGTATCGGTTTATCATCATGGCGTGTCTCATTTCCACAGCAGGACAAGCAGCGGCCATCATCCGACAGGATCTGGAGTGCAGGACACACTGTGCAGTTCCACATGCTGGGACCTCGGCAGTCCAGGCAGGATGGGTCACACGCTTTGCAGTCTGGCTCATCGGATACGGACTCAGAGCCCTGGAGCAACAGAAGAATTTGTTTCACTTTTCAGTCATATTATCTCCAAAATACTGCTCCATGACTTACAGAGCAGCCTTGCCAAAATACAGCTGTAGCTCAAATATATTATTCATCCTTTCATGAGGCAAATGTAAAAGGTTGAATATAAACAAAAACTTTTTAAGGGGAGTAACACACATGCTGTCTGTTACCTTTGAAGTAGCATATAAGCCAAGGAGACACTGGGAATTACAGATGCCACTCATGAACCTGTAGCCTTCATAACAGGACTGACAGGCCAGAGCGCCCTCATCTGCAAAGAGAAAGACAGAGAGCATGAGATATCACACAATGGGAAATTGTGTCAAATGTGAAAGTGGAGTTTCCAAAAGTAAAGCATATCAAAAGGCAAAGCAGAAGCATGCAATGGCTTCGAGGGAGGGGGTAACTATGATAAACAAGACATTGATTATAAAGTACAGTACATGTATAGTACTGTGAAACAAATGCTTATTTGAAATATTTTAATCTGGGGTGTCTTGGTTGCCTAGGGGTTTAAGAAACTGACCATGTAATTGCAGTCCCTGGTTTGAGTCTAGCCAGGGAACTTCGTCACATGTCCCTCTCTTTCTCCCCTTATTATCTGTCAGCTCTCGACTGTACTCTCCAACAAAAAGGGAAAAATAACTCCCAAAATACTTTGAATTTATATTTGTATACTCTTTACCCTTGGACTGTGTTCCCAAAAATGTATAACTACAATAGGAATCACTGAAATGGACTTTAATTCTTGTTACAATTCAGGAAAAAACCTAAAGAAGAAGCTCCACTTGGGAAAGATGATTCCTCATCTTATCTGGCATCAATATCCTGAGCTGCAATGTTCATATGTGACAAATTTGTCTGCAACTGCCACAAGCCATATTTCACATTTGCATACTATCATCAAAGATAATCCAATATAAACAATTTTAGTGTAGGAATTATGTAATTATATATGTCTTGAAAGTTCTTCTGATTTTTAAAAGCCAAACATATCCAATAATATGAAATCACACAAAAACACTGCCCAAATAAGCCATGGCTTCCTTTACCCCCGCAGGTCTTGCAGGTGGGGTGACACTTGTGACAAGCCTTAGTCCGGCTGTCTGGGAAGTAGCTTGGAGGGCAGCTCTGGAGGCATTGTCCCCACTTCCTCAGGTAGAAGTAGTCCTCCCGACAGTTCAGACAGTTTCTGTTACTACGACCCCAACACCGGTTACAAGATGGGTCACATCGGTCACAAACCATGGTGGAGGTATTGCCAAAGTGACTGAAAAGGAGAGGGAATGTTAAGTTTGTTTTTTAATTGAAAAATGAAAGGAGACTTTGTGTGTCTGTGTGTTCTTCTAACTTCTCTGAACAGAATTCAACACAGCTGCTTCCCTGCTTGAA